ATAAATTTACTTTTATCTGATCATACCACCCTTTTCTAATCTTTTATAGTCCAATTACGGTACTTTTTGGCAAACTTTTTTTGAGTAATTCTATGTTTCTTTAAGAGCAATGGTTTTTTTTAACTCTAGCTACAAGACCTTCTCTTATTAATGAACGTCAAATTGTATTTGAAGATATATTAATGTTTTCATTAGAAATTAAACTTTTTTGGATTTGAATAGCATTAGAACATTCACCTGACTTTATAAGTTTTGCAATATTTCTATCATGACATTCTATTAGAATTTTAGAGTGGCCTGATTTTGGAATAACATCAAGACTACTAGTTTGTTCTTTCCTTTGTTTGATTTTTATTACAGAGAAATGACTAACATTTTCACAAAAAGCTACTGAATGACTTGAATATCCCTTCTGAAGAAGAGTAATGATACGTTTTCTTTAATAATATGGTATCGCCTTTATTATAAAGCAAAAAAATTCTGTGGGAAAGTAATACAAAGTGATTACAAATTAGGTTTATTTATATTAATTAAGGCACGTCTCATAAGCATCGGTTGATCATTTTTAATTTAGTGCCATAAATATTATTTCACAAAAAAAATACACAATTTAAAATTTTATAAAAAGCTACAAATTAAATGCTAATCAAGTTTTATATTTATTAAAAATAAAGTTACAGCTTTAAAGTTAGTTAAATTTTAAAATTAGACAATCACTTCAATTTTGTAGAATTACAATTTAAAAAATTAAACGGAGTGGTGCAATAATTATGGAAGTCACTATATAATATAAATAATTTCTAATTATAGTATTATGTATTCAAAGTACTTGAACGATCTCAATTTATACTCCATCAATAATAAATTTTAGCCAATAAGCGTAACTCTATAAAAAAAAGCTGACTATTTTTGACCAATAAAATTATCCATTAAATTAGTTACTTGAGAATGTCTTATGCATCTAATATTTATTTATTTTATTATTATTAATGATTCCAGTAAGACAATATACTAATTTTTTTAATTAAATATAATAATTTATAAAATTCAAAGTACCATTAATATAGATAATTAAGCATGTTATGTATGTGGTGGTGAATTACGAACAAACCTTTTATAAATGTGAAGGCTGAAAGATTTTATGACTTAATAACTACAGTAAATTAGATGCGTAATGTCAGTTGGTTTATTAATAGTTTTATTATTCAACAATTTCTTTAAAGATGATATAAACTTTTCTTGGTATTTTATACTAGTACACATTTATTATTATTTTGGCTCTTTTGTATTCAGAATCATCTACTTCATCCAGAAGCTCTTTATGTAAACAAGCATTCCAATTTGATCTTTCATAGATTTACTTGTCAGTGATGTCTTTAGTGTTGCATTTTTAAATAAAAATTTCGTAACTGAAACTAGTTTAGTTAATAGCTAAAACTATCAAAACTAGCTTTGTTTAACCAAAACTAATTTTTAGTAGTTTAGGATAGTATTTTTAAATATCTTTGAATATTTTTCATCTTTATACATGTGTGTTGTCTGATTTATTATACAGTTTTAACCATAATTTCCACTTACATTACTTTGAAACATATTAAATTATCATAAATTTGATTCATTATTATTTTCCAAAAATTTCAAATGTTTAGATTTTAAATATTTTTTCTGCTTCTTAAATATTAAAATTATTGTCAATTATCACATAGGATTCTTATGACTATCAATCAAATATTTTTTAAGAGATTATTATTTACAGGTTTTGCTAGTAATTATATATCTATTTCTTTTAATTTATATAATCCATTAATTAAGATTATATAAATCCTATATAGTCCTTTCCATTTAGTTCTAATTTTCCTAAAAATTGATTGATTTTAATGGCATAATAATACAAACTTTTTGTCTAATGTCAAATGACTTCAGCTTAGCTATTTGTTTATCATGGTCTATTTTTGATTTATTTTTACAGCGAATATTATTTGTTTTACTTTTTCTCTAATTTCAGGTAATTTTTTATAATTTGTATAATTTGATAAATTCTATTGATCAAATTTTTATCTTGTTGATTCCCATAATCATCTAATAATAATTTGGTTCTCTTTTATAAGTCAGTAAAAATAATGACATTTTTGTAAATGATTGTTAAACTGTATGATAAATAAATAGTACAAAAATAATGCATAAATCCTATTTAATTTATTTTTTAATAAGTTTTGCTAATGATTCCTTTAAAGTTTTATTGAAGTCTATTTGTTTGTGAATGATAAAAGTTAAGTTATGATATTTAATTCCAATTTTTCTATTAATTTTTTAATTATAATATTATTAAAACGTGTATCATAATCAGTTAAAATTTTATAGGATAACCATGTTTACAAATAATATTTTCATAAATAAATTAAGTAACTTGACTAACTATTGCTTTTTTAATAGCCTTTACTTTAAACCATTTGGTAAATAGATACGTAATTAGTAAAGTCTAATAAAATCTATTCCTATTTAGTAGAAAGAATTATGAAATAAATAGGATATGATTTGTTATTTTTACTTAGTCTTTCTTGATATTAGCAAGAATCATATACTTTAACATATGAGAGGTTTGCTAGGAAAATGGGACTCAGAGAAATTTTTATTAAAATTTTAATTTTTATTGCATTTTAATTTTTATTGCATTTTAATTTTTAATAAGATTAGATTAAAATGTAATATATATTAAAATTTTAATAAAAATGCTTATAGCCCTATTTCCTAGTAAATCTCTTATATGCTTTGATATCTTCATATATTTAAGGCTAATAGTATTATATTTTAAGTTTATTAAACATTATCTCAATTTTAAAGTGTCTCATCATAGAATCATTATACATTATATAAAGTATGAGTTTTAATTCATATTATTTAAGAACTTGTAAAAGGTATTATCTAGCTTGTCTTCTATCATATTAATATAAATTTGAATTTTGAATTGTGAAGTATTTTATTATATTTATAATCTTTTTCTTTTTCTAATTCAATTGAATATATTCAGAAAATTTGATGTGATTTAAATATTTTTGTATTTTAAAGTTTTATTAGATATCCATAATGAATAATTAAGCTGTAAGTCATAATGCTTACACTTTCACTTATATTCAATTATGATATTTGAATATTAAGACTTTTACTCACTAAATGCTATTCAACTAAGTATTATCTCTTTAAAATGATAAAATAAAATAAAATATTTAAAATAATTTTAAAATTATTAAGCTAATAATATAATATAAATTAAACCCAATTAAATAAACTATATAAAGGTAAAAATTTAATAACCAGAGGTATTAGATCTACTAAGAACTTCATCAAAAGTTGAAGAATAAATAGAGTAATAATTAGTATAAATAATCTAAATATTTCATCCAATTCATTCTTAATCAAATCACATATTTAAGAATTTTTAATTAGTTTTAATAATTTGAATGCTGCTAAATAAGCATTATTACACTTTTTCTGGTATATCCCAAAATACTTTATTGATTAGAGTTTCAGATATTATATCAGGATGTATTTATTTAAAATTAAAAACAATGCAATCATAATCTAAGTTGATGGTAATAATTATTTTACAAAGAGTATAATTAATAGAATATTATTAAGCAATTTCTTAAATTAGTTAATATTTATTCATTTAAATTAGTTTATCTAAATTCAGCAACATTTAAAAAATATTATGTAGGTCATGTCTCTAATCTTATCCTTTTTCATCAAAAATAAATTCGATTTCTTTTCATTTAAAGTCAAATTCTAATCTATTATTTTCTTTAAATTATTCTGATTATTATTTACTTTTAACATCATTTTCAACAGACATCATATTTAAATATTTATAATATTCATATTTATTGCATTAGCAAATGATATGTTTTGTAGGTAAAGATATATAATTTCTATATAGTTTAGTATATTGAAACATTCAGTATAATACTAATAAGAGTGATAATCATTTTCATTATAAATATAAGTATTTTTTTTGATATTTTTGTTATTATGTAACCATTCAAATGCTATTTCATTTGACATACATAAACATTTAGGTTAGAAAAATGTATTTGAATCTATTGATTATGTTTTCTTTATATTTATTAATTAATGTTATATTAACTAAGACTATTTGAGAGAATATCTTAGCATTTTAATTTTTAACACTTAGTCTTTATTTATTTAATGATAAAAGTATATACTTGAAAAAAATAAGGCCTATCTTATAACTTATCCTTTCATATGTTTAGTAGTTAATAACTAATTTAAAGCAAAATAATCAATGACTACTTCAAATAATTAATAATATAAATAATAGTCAAAATGTTTAATAAATTATCAGATTACAAAATATTATTACACAAAGAAGATATGGATAACCTGGGTGATAATATGACTATGGTAACTAAAATATTACATATGTCTTCTATGTCATATAGTATTTATATTTCTTATATTTCTTATATCTATTTTATTATTTATATCTCTCATATTACATATATTTATTATAGTTATTATAGTTATTATATTATTTATATTTCTTATATATCTTCAAACACTTTATATAATTAATTTTATATAAATATACCTTAAGTCTTAGGATAGTGAATGACAGGTTTTTCTACAAGGTTTTATTGTAGATTTTAAAGTATCATCTTTAGTTTAGTTTAAAATATGTATAGTACAGAGCACTGATAGAAGTAATACTCATTTGTTAAAAATATATTGAATAAACAATTGACTTTTTTAATTCAATCTATATAATCTTATAAACCTTTTACCTTCTGCTTACCTTATTACACTTTTAACTTTAAGCGATCCCAAAGAACTGACCATAACAATATTTCTTTTTCAGTAATGATATATTTTAATTTTAAATTAGAAAGTTTTTGATTAGCATAAGTAATAGAAAATTTGAAACCTTATTTTTCTTTTTAGTAAATATAGCTCTGTATTCTTTTTCTGAAGTATCAGTTTATAGAATGAACTTATTTTTCAAATTTGGTTATGCAAGTACTGAAGTAAAGTTCATTCTTTTTTTTAAAGTATTAAAAGAATCTTAATGTTTAGGAATTTAAGATCAAATAGTATTCTTCTAAGTAAAGTCATATAATAGTTCAGCAATCTTTATAAAGTCATACTTTCTTAGAATTCTTTGAAATAGGCAGATTGATTATTATTTAGATCTTCTTTAGTCTGATTTAATTTCATTGCTTCCTACTATATATCATAAGCTTATTTCATTTATAACAAAAGTGTATTTACTTGACTTGATTTTTAATTCTATTTTTTAAAGCCTATTGAAAACTTGTTGAATATGTTGATAATAATCTTTAAATGAGGTTGAATAGATTATAATATTATCAAGATAGACAGTACAGTCTGACCTTGATATAACGAATCCATGATATAATGAACTCTCAACTTATTGAACTTTTTTTAAAAAACCAGTTTTCATAGTATTTGAAAAATCTCAATATACTAAATATCATATAAAACTTTATGTAATGTATACTGAATTTTTATTGATTTACCATTTATTATAAACTATAATAAAAAAATTTTAATATATTGAACTGGTTATGTGATTAGTATATTAGTACTAGTAGATTATAATTAAATAATATAATAATCATTTTTTTGTCTTCGATTTTTTTTTTGTAATCACACTATGAACTAAAAAAGAAAAAATGTAAACAATGAAGCAACAATAAAAAAAAGAAAATTCTAACCTTTGAAGAAAGAAAAGAGTTATGTTTGCTTTATCATGAAAACTTATCATTATCACAAGAAAAAATAGGAAAAAAATTTAGTGTAAAGAAAAATATTATTTTAAAAGATAAAGAAAAATGGATGAATATAAAACTTAATGGTTTTAATACAGCTAAACAAAAAGTAAAACCACCAAATTTCCTGAATTAGAAGAAACTTTGGTAATTTGAATTTCAAATGCTTTATCTACTAATAAAACTATAACGGGAGAAATTATCATGGCCAAAGCTTTTGATTTTGCAAGATTAATAAATATCGAAGGCTTTACTAGATCAGCTGGTTGGCTAAATAATTTTAAAAAAAGACATAATATCAAGCAATATAATAAATATGGAGAGGTTCAGAGTGGATTAAGTGAAGAAGAATTAACTAAAGGAAAAGAAAAACTACAGGAATTGATTAGTAATTTTGATCTTGAAGATGTTTTAATTGTGATAAAACAGGTAATTATTTGAAAATCTTTATTTTAAATAATTAGACATTTATAATTAAATTAATTAATTAATCTAATTTTAAATTTACAAAATATTGTGTTTTTTTTAGGTTTGTATTGGAAATTAGAACCTTTCAAAATATTATCTACAGGTCCTTTCTCTAGGATGAAAAAATCAAAATATAGAGTCACGATTTTATTAACATTTAATATAACTGGTTCAATTAAACTTTCTACACTTTTTATATATAAATATCAAACATCAAGAGATTTAATTGAAATCGATAAATCAAAGCTTTCTGTTGATTATTTTTGGAATAAAAGTGCTTAGATGAAAAATTCTATTTAGAATAAATATTTAGAACTCTTAAAAAACGAAATAGAAAGATCTTCTTTTGGTAGATAATGCTTTAATTCACTTTGTTAATAATCCAGATTTATTAACAAATATCACAATTCATTATTTGCCACCCAATAATATCGCATACTTGTAACCCACTGATGCTAGCATTATAAATTCATTTAAGATTAATACAATATTTTAATTGGATTATAAATTAATAACATGAATTCTAATAAATTAATTATTAATTTTAGATATAATATCACAAAAGATTTATAAAAAATAGAATTGTAGCTTATAATGACAAAATGGAATTTAATATACCAGTTTCTAAATTGATAATAAGGGAAGGGCCAAAAATTACGTCATTAAGATTTTAGAAATTTTGACATCCCTCCCTCCCCTTGTTATCATTCATTTTAAGAAATTTATAATTAACTTATATAAAATTTGTGAAACGTCATCATGGATTGAACCTCCCTCCCTTCCTTTTAAAATGACGTAATTTCTGACCCTCCTCTAAGTGATTCTATCTCACTTTGTGTCTAAGCTTGGAAAGCTGTAATAAGTGAAACTATTCATAATTGTTAGACAAATACTGGAATTTTGCTCTCAGTTATTACTTTACTTTCACTTACTAATGAAAAGCAAAATGATGATGACAATTTAAACTTAATAGAAGAAATTCAAAAATTATTAGATCAATATAATAATTTTACTTTTAGTGAATTGATGAACGCTGAGAAGTTTGTCTTAATTGATGATGATAATAATTATAGAGAAAAAGAAATTGCAAATAAAGAAATTGTAAATATAGTAAAATCAAATGAAATGAAACTTGCAAAAGAAAAAACAATTTTACGACCCAAAATATCTACTTCAGATGCTTTAGCATCGATAAAGTATTATCTTTTCTTGATAATCTATCTGATAATTTTATTATAGAACTCAATAACATAAATTTACTACATAATCTTAAAATACAAATTATTTTTTTGATAAAAATAGTAAAGTTCAATCAGTATTAGATAGTTTGTTAAACTCTTAATTGATCACATATAACGTATGTGATAAATGAACGTGATGAATTTTTTCTAACATTAACATTTTATTAGTAATATAATTTTGAATATTTTATTTTGTTAGTAATATAATTTTTGAACATTTCATTTTATTAGTAATATAATTTTGAATATTTTATTTTGTTAGTAATATAATTTTTGAACATTTCATTTTATTAGTAATATAATCTTTGAATATTTTACATTAATGTAATTTTTGAACATTTATTTTTATAATAAAATTCAATATTTACGTCACATATCATTTATGAAAAATCATGTGACTTTTGATATACTGAACTTTTTATTACTTACTTATAGAGTTCAGTATATAAATAAAATTTGATTTACTAAATATTATCTATATACCAAACTTTTATTCCTGAAGTATAAATTCAATATATCAAGGTTTGACTATATAAAACATTTCAATTAATCAATATAGAACTTTGATTTATTAGATGTTAGAAGATCACTGGTATATTTTTTATTCTAAAGAGCATTACTTTAAATTCATAGAGAACAGATGATATAATAAAAGCTGTATTTAGTTAATCTTCTTGATGCATTTTTACTTGCTAGTATTCACTAGCTAAATATTTTGTCATTCTAAAATTTTTTAACTAATCTTGCATATTGGAAATTGGATAGCTATCAGTAATAATAATTGTATTTAATGGTTGATGATTAATATAAATTTTAAGGTCTTCTGTTTTTTTTTAAAACTATTACTACTGAAGAAGCTTAAGGACTTTCAAAGGTTTAAATGATTTCTTTTCCAATATTTTATTAATTATTTTTTTAAGAAATCTTTTTTTTTCTGATTTAACCTATATGATAAATGAATGATAAGTAAAACTTCAGATTTAGAGGTAATTAACAATTTACATAAGAAGTTTATTTCTCTAGTTAGTATTCTACAAAAAATCTGATTTTAATCTGAATCTTATTTAAATCTAACAGATCAAATCAAATCAGATTTATCAGATTTAGATTCAGATTTAAATTTGATTTGATTCATTATATTTAGATTAGATTTGAATTTATTACAAATATTTTTTATTTTTTAATAATAAGTTTATCCTGAAAATTAGAGGTAGCATATATTATTAAAAAAATAAAAAAACTATTTTTTTAATAATAAAGTCTATCCTAAAACTTTTAAATAACATTTATTATTAAAATAAAAATTTTTATTTTTTTTAATAATATGTACTTCTTGAAAGTTGAAGGCAGCATTTATTATTAAAAAAAAAAAAATAATTTTTATTAATTTTTAATAATAAAACATTATCCTAAAAGTTAGAGATAATATTTATTATTAAAAAAAAAATAACTTTTAATAATAAAATGACATCCAAAGTTAAAAGTAACATTTATTATTAAAAGAATAAAAAAAACTTATTTTTTTATAATAAGTCTATTCTGAAAATCAAAAGTAGTATTTATTATTAAAAAAATAAATTTTTTTTTAATAATAGGTCTATCCCAAAAGTCAGAAGTGATATTTATTATTAAAAAAAATAATTTTTATAAAATTTTAATAAAAAATGCTAATCTGAAAGTTAGAGATAGTAATATTTATTATTAAAAAAAATAATTTTTATTAATTTTTAATAAAAAATGCTACTTCAAAAATCAGAAGTGATATTTATTATTAAATAAAATAAATTTTATTAATGTTTAATAATAAAATGCTATTCTAAAATCAAAAGCAACATTTATTATTAAAAAAAATAATTTTTAATACTATCTTGAAAATTAGAAGTAGCATTTGTTATTATAAAAATAAAAAAAATTTTTTTAATAATTAAACTTCTTGTGGATTCTGTAGAATTTATTATGTCATTTAAAGTAATAAGTCTATTTCAAAAGTCAAAGGTAGCATTTATTGTTAATTTCTATTCCAAAAATCAGAGATATAATTTATTGTTAAAAAACAATAAATTTCTATTTCTGAAAGTTAGAGGTGGCATTTATTTTATAAAACAATAAATTATATTATTTTTTATCAATATAATACTTCTATAAAGTCTTTAAGTCAATTTATTAAAATAAATTTAATTAGTAGATTTGAAATTAGATATTTCTTCTAAAACTAACAAGTATTTACCTTTTAACTTTTTATTGAACTATTCAATTTAGAACTTAGTATTATTTTTCAAAGAAACTATATAGCTATTCCAAATTTTGAAGATGCATTATTATTAAAAAAAATAATTATATTATTTTTTTATAATATAATGCTATTCTAAACATTGAAAATATAAATTGTTAAATAATATTTTTTTTATAATATAGTACTATTCTGAATATTAGAGGTGCATTATTGTTAAAAAAAATATTATTATTGTTTTTAATAATAATATCATTCTGAACATTAGAAACATAAAATTATTAAAAAATTAGTTTTTTATTTTTTAACAGTAATATGCAATTCCAAATATTCAAATGCATATTATTATTAAAAAATAATAATTATATTTTTTTTAATAATATAATACTATTCTAAACTTCATTGTTTAAAAAATAAAAAAATATTATTTTTTAATAACTTTATGCTTCCAACATTTAGATACACATTATTATTAAAAATAATAATAATAATATTTTTTAATAATATGGGAGCATTTTCAGTAAAATCACATTACAGATCATATGATTTACTATGTCTCATAGCTTGATTTTACTGGAAATATTCCCATATGAGGTTTTTACAATAGAAAGGAGGAAACTACTGAAAAAATAATATAAGTTAATTCTAAATTTGAATATATTTTGACCTAAAAATCATATTTAGCATATAAAATACAATAATTTTTCCCAGTAATTTCCTTTCTTTTTATTGCAAAGGTCTCATATAATATCATTCCAAACTTTGAAGATACATTATCGTTTAAAAAATAATAATAATATATTTTTTAAATAGTAAAAGCTATCCAAATATCAGAACTGTATTATTTTTTAAATATAAATAACATTCTAAATGTTATATATGATATTATTATTACTAAAGAACTGATCAATATGTTATAAGTGATTTTATATTATTAAAATACCTAAAAATTTTTTTGGTTTATTAGAATATAGATTCAAATTTGAATTTAGATTTGTTAAATTTGGATCAAATTCAGATTTGATTTGATAGATTCATCAGATTCAGATTTGAATCAAATTCAGATTTATTAAATTTAAATTGAATCAGATTTATTACTTTTAGTAGAAATAATTTTTTAAAGGACTAAAATTTTGATAGTAATTTGTTTTGGTGTTTCATCTTCTTCAGTATTAGCTATATAAAGATTAATAAACTTTTTTCATTATGTGACCATTTAATATATTCTAATTTATCATTATCCATATCAGAGTTGGTTTTTTCTCTTCAGTTTTATTGTCTACTTGAAATAAATCTGTTTTAAAGAGAGTTTTATCTTCATATACTTTTTCTTACTCTTAGCTATATTAACTAAGATTCTAAAATATGGCTTGTTTCTTCTTGGTGATTTAACTATTTAATTTTGAATTTTAGCTTGAAATTTATCATAGTTAAAATATATTCTAATGTCAAATGTTTTAAACCAATTAATTCCTAATAATAGGATGTTTTATTGTAACTCAATTACTTGTAAGTTAATAGTGAATTGAATTAATTGTAAAATTCTTTATCAATTTTTTCTGAGAATTCTCGAACTGGAACTAAATTTGTTTTTTTAGAGATTAATATAATTTATCTCTATTAATTTTATCAGTTATTACATCAAGAGAAATTGTAAATTGATTTATAAGTATATTAAATTGATTTTTATTTATTTTGTTGATATTAAAGAAAAGAAGTATTAATATTTTAAATTCTGTTGGTATAAGATATTTAAATTATTTGAATATTATAATTCTTCTAATATTCTTATTACTATAAAATTAAAATTAAATCCAAAGTCAAAAGGGTTTACAAAAGTTAAACTATATATTAATCATTTTTCAATACTTTTATAAGTTATAAACTAATAAATTATTAATATAATTGATCAAACAATAAAATTGTTTTTCCTATATAAACTATCAGTACTAATTCAGGACTTCGAACTATACTAATATAACTCACATTTGAGTTTGCATAGAGTTTATATGTAAACTTTGCCAAAAGTTGCTTATTTTTACAAATTTACTTATCCCACATACTCATTATCTCAATAACTAGTAATTCAATTTTAATGAAATTTATACCATTGGATTTGTCTAACCGAGAGAAGTTTAATGGTAATAATATTATCTTTCTAGCATTAATATTGACTGAGTTATACCATATAATATAATTTTAATTATGTGTTCGTACTACATTTGTGAGTTCTATTAGTATAGTTTAGGGTTCTACTAATTCTGTTCAAAAATATATAAAATATAAGGATACTTTTTCTGGAATTAAGTAGCAAATAAACAAGTATAATCTGTTGATAGGTAAAATTTGCTTTTAGTATGTTATTGTAAATAATTTTTTTATAATGTAAGTTATAAGACTAAATTTATCTACTATAAGGTTAGAATGTCTAGCAGAAAATATTACTTTATTAGCCAAAAGGCTAAAAATAAAACTTAGACAAATTAATTTAGTCTTAATCACTATAATTTTATCACAATCATACCTCTATAAAGATATAGTAAAAAGATAATGTTAATAAATAACAAATATTTTTATTGAACTCTTAGTTTATTCGTTTATTCCTAAAACTCTATTTCAAGTCAAGTTATCTTTTAACTCAAGGGAAATACATGCTATTTATATAAAATAAACTAATAGTAATATAATATGATAATATAATATATATAATAAATAAAATAAATCTATTGAATATAATAAATTTAATAATGTTAATTAAGTTAATAAATAAAATAAATA